AAAGAAAAAGAGGCATTATCACAGAAAATGCCTGGTGTAACTCCTCCTAATCACATTTCTCAGTGCTATTAGGAGAATGGACCTTACTTGTCACTTATTATATTTCCAGCCTGCAAAAGAAGGATATTGTCAGGATGTAGACATAAGATGTTAGGACATGGAAAATCCACTTCAAGGTCCCAGTTTACCTTTGTAATCTAGGCAAATCATTAGTTCTAGGTTCTTATGGAGCTGAGGTGAGCCAGCTTCCTGCAGGCAGTTTGCTTCATAAGTGTTCCTCTAGACAATAAAGGTAATAAACAACCTCATCCATATGTGCTGTAATCTTCCCGAGGCAGAGGGATTGCAGCCTAGAGACTCAAAGGTGTGTATGTGGGCATCTGCCCAGTGTTGCCCTGTTTAACCCTCAGGAGTGCTGCCACACTGCCTGAAAAATATCCTTATCTGAGGAAAGACTCTCAGAAACCAACAGCTGGAGAGGAGCTGGGCAAGAGAGAAATGCAGATGAACAAGGCATCAGACTTCATTCTGCTTCAGCTCACGCACTTAGACTGCTCTCCCATTAGTCACCTGAAATGGACAATTTGCTCAGGTAGGTGGGGAGCTCTCCATCCACGAGACACAAAAATCCACAAATTCCTACCACAGAAGAACCAATAAGGACATGGGTTAGGATATGTATTCCAAACCTGTTTCAATGCCTGGGTTAGCACAGGCAGCTGGAAACTGTTCATTTCTCACCCGAGCACTTTATCAACCACCCTGGCGGCTACTCTTGAGTCAAGATTCTCCACTTCTCTGACAGTAGCTGTTCACCTTAATAACACTCCATGGACCAGAGAGTGAACAAGAGATTGATTCTGCATCACAGTGGCTTAAGTCAGCAATGCTGGTACTCAGGTTGAAATCTCTACTTCAATATTTAATTACCAAAAAAGTTGGAACTGCTCCAACAGGAGAGGTAAAAACCTTTTCATCAGCTCTTCTATCCTAGAAATAACAGAACCTTAATTTTTGATTCATAAGAACATGCACAAACATACATATGCTGATCCTACTGTGCTAAGCCTATACATACTGGCAGTCAGCAGCCACCTTAGATGGGCTCTCATACACACAAAAGACTGAGCCCAGCTAAGGAGACATTCATTTTGAGCAGGTTTTGCCTTCAGTCTTAATTCCAACACTGTAACAAGGGGATAATGCAAGTGTTTTGAGAGTTTTGTTAATATCACCTGGCACAAAAAAGCCCAGAACCATCTCAGTGATGTATTTAAAAATAACAGCAGTGAGGTACACGTAGGGCAAGTTGCATGTATTTGTACTGTGTCTAAGACAATGGCTTACAGATCCTAGGAGAGGTTTTGAATACTCTTGTTGTTTAATGAATTTGGAGAAGCTACTCAGAGTTTCAATAGCAACTCACATTTCATAGAATCTAGTTTGTCTCTTGAAAGGCATGAGCACAATAGGACAGTCTCATCAGGTAGCTTCACATCACACAATTCCTTATGAAGAGATGTAGGACAATGTGCTTGGAAATCTCTACATTGCCTTTAGGAGCCATTCCCAGAGCTGCTCAAGCAGCAGGTGTGGAAGCTTACATCTGGGTCCCAATGACAGAACAGGAGCTGAACAAGTCACTGAGGTCATTTAGGGGCAGAACTTATTTAAGGTTGGATGCAGGAATTTCTCTTGGAAGGGGTGAAATAAGATATTCCTTCTAACTAAACAATATTTTTCAATAATTTACCATTTATATTTTGGCCTACAAAAATATAGTATTTTTGATACACGATCTCAGTGGAGATACTGGAACTTATACTAGAGTTTTATGGTTTTTAATTTCTTAATGGGACCAGGGCTGGGACAATAGGTGTTAATGTATTAAAGGTTCATGTACTTGAGAGGTACATCACTCTTCCATCACTCTTCTTTTATGTTGATCACCATGCTCTGCATGTTTCTCTATTTTATATAAAAGACTTAAATCCTTGACATAAACTTTTCCAAATCTTCATTCATCAGTTCATTAAATGCCCTCTTGTTAACAGGCGAATATCTTATAGAACTGGGTTCAAAACAGGCAGAAATGGCTTCTAAGAATATTAAAGAACATAAGAAAAAAAACCACCAGGAATATTCTGAGAGTTCAGAGCATCAATCCCAAAAGTAGGAAGGAAAGAAATGCAGAACTCCATCTTTAACAAAAGGAATAATTTACCATGACACTTAAATGCATTAACAAGCCATGCTTGCATCAGAATGGCTGTGGCAATGCAAACCTGCTAATGTGGGATTAGTTTAACCAATTTAGAGAACAAATTAGAATAAAAGGGTGTCTTGCATGTCCAATTGCTATGAAGGTCCAAGGCAGGGGGCAGAAATAGCTGTGGAAAATGCCCTCTCATCTCCAGAAAAGGCAAGGTTAGAGTGGGTACAAAGAAGCCCCACTGAATACAAGGCTGAAGAATGCTTCACCACACAAACAGGGGGGTTATTTCCAAGCACAGCATTACCGATCTTCAAATTCTACCTTCTCCAACGATTTTTTAAATATCTTTTTTGCTGGTATTTTTTTCACCCAGTAGGATTAGTATACATATATTGTGGAAATGTTTCAATAGAGAAGCAAACTGCACTGCTCTGGGACAAAGAGCTGAGTACCCACTGCAGAACAGAAAGCTGGAAGCACCCAATGTCCAAGGCAACTGTGGACTTCTCCTGCTCCAGAGCAGGCTTGCACCCAAATTAGCATAATTTTGTAATTGAATATTCCCAAGTAATTGCTATATTTCCTTCTTTAAAAAAAAGAGTGTTTCCTCCCATTTTGCTGTTCCTTTCTCAGGTCCTTGAGCCACTACTCATGCTGGGACTGAAAAGGCAGCTGAAAGAAACAATTTAGCAAGCAACACAATGAAGGAACAAAAAGGGAGGTTTTACTCCCATTCTTTAAAAATAATGGCACCTAAAAAAAGAAGAATAGCACAAATCAAAATGTAGCGATGGGAATATGTATTTGAGGAGACACAGGCACCACAGTGAGATTTTGCTTTCATCTTTTCTCTTTAATACCTTTCACAGTTTATTGACTGTAATCAAGCAATGTGAAATCAATGAAGGGTTTATAAAGAAGGGACAGTTCCCTATCTTCAAAAGTGATCGACTGTCTTACAAAATGATTTTAAAAACTTAGGTACTTTAGCAAGTCCTAGACAGAAACACATATTTCAATTTAGGCCTGTGCTTAAAGCAGATTGCTTTGCTAGGGTCCAATGTTTCAATTAAAAATCAGGAAAAGAACTCAAGTGCATACATATATACTTTGATTTATATTCAGATTAATTAATTTCAACTGCTTTTCAGTTGAAATTGACATAGGTTAAAATGGTAAAGAAAAAGAAGAAATACTGCTTGCCCAAGCAGATACAAAGATTAAATGTATTAAGTCCAGAATCTACAAATACAAAACAGACTCCTTTCCAGAAGTTACAGAAGTTCTTTAACATATTTAGAGGCAGGTATTGGGAAGTAAGACATCAGTTACAGTCACTGTTAATTTCAAAGGACAAATGTGTGGGATTTTACTTCTGCACATACTATTGCAATTGTATTATTTATTTAATTAGTATTAAAATATAAGCTAATTATAACAAATTTGGTTCCTTAGCATGTGTCTACACTTCAGCCCGCTGTCCAGTGTAAATGTGAGCCAGCTTTCCTGCCAAGAACAGGCTCTCTGCTTCAGCCAAGAAGTGGACAAATAAGTTCTGCTGGTACAGAGAGGCACTTTCCAGTCTCCAACCTGGCTTGCTTATGACAACTGTAGATTTTACTATATTGCACCGTTGCTGGCAGGGTTGAGATACCCTCATTTTAATAACCCTGCGGACAGCAAGAAGCCATCAGCAAAACACACCGCAGCCCTCAAAAACAGCTTCAGAGCTGTGAGCCGCTAGTGAATAGCAGTCTTTGTGAGAGCAGCATGATTTATAATCGGTATACAGAGCCCCTGTGATTAATATTCATGCTACATATCCCAGAATAAATAGGAGATGCCAGTCTGATCCAAAGCCCTCTGAAATTGATGGAAATCCTTCCATTGACTGCACTGGGCTCTGGGTCAAGCCCCAAGCATCCAAGTGTGTTTATACCTTTTAAAAAAGAAGGAATTCACTCTCCACGTGTTTCAGTCCCTCACATTTACTGTCAGCAAACCTCTGGCAAAAGAACGCTTCCCTCTGCAATGGGACTCTTGCTGAAGCCAGTAGGGGCTATATATAGAGAGACTGAGGACAGAGACTCAATGGAAAACCAATAACAAATTGGAAAGAAACTTGATTTTGAAACTACACCAGACAAGATTTAGTAGGAAAGCAAATCTTTCTTTGTAAGAAGTACAAAATAACTCAGATTTTGTATACCTGCAGGTTTAGAAGGAAATTTTCAATAAGACACATTGAACTTTTCTAATATACACTAAGAAAGCCCACTCATGTATATATAATACCATTATAACCATCTTCCTTAAACACTGTAATTATAGCCTCCAAGGGTAAGTACATGAATGGTAAATTAAATATGTCCATTTAAATTATTTTATGCAAAGATTTTATTTTACTTCTTAAAGAAATTTAATCCTAATTATAGGTGTCCTTGTTAAATGCAGATTAACAATAAAGTTAAAGAATAAAAACCTCATATATTTTTATGCTACTTTATAAATTTTCTGAAGTCCAAGTTCTCTCACAATAGTGTACAGTAATTGGATTAAAACTACCTTCAAATACTTTCCAGTACAACTTTTACATGAAACATCTTGCAAAACCCACCATGTCTATATAATCCTTTTACAGTGATTATCAAAAAAATACTGTGGAATTAAATAGAAGTAGATTGATATGGATTCTCCTCCCCAGACAATAAAATCCTAGCACCATACAAAATATTATGATTTAAAACTGAGTGCTGGCTCTCCTTCTCTCCCTTTCTTTCATTTGAATAACAAAACAAATTATTTTCTGAAGCACAACTATTAATATGCAGATTGGTTTCCAGAGTAGTTTTCAATAATCTTTTTTCTTTCTTGCATTTTGCTTCAAGAAGAAAAGTAAGAAAAAAAACAGAAAAAGGAAAAAGATACTGGAAAAAAAGTCCTAAGATCAATCAACAGTGAGTCCCCACGGAGGCAAAAGTGGACATTTCGCGACGTATGGTACTGAAAGGGGAGAGCTCCAGTTCTGTGGTGTACTCATTGTCATTGTCATCACTTGTCACTGTTGAGGACTTCTGGATGCATTCATCACAGCAGCAACAGCAACACTCCATAAAAGCTCGGCTGAAAGGTTTACAGAAACAGAAAAGGAGAACTGGGGTAACACAGGACTTGAAGAACAAAAGGAACTGACTAATGAGATGGAGGAGGTCCATAGTCTGCTGAGAGACCCCTGTGGACATGTAGGCAGTCACAATATTGCAAATGTTTTCAGGAATTATGCAAAACCCATACAAAATGGTCAAAGCCACCACCGTGCAGTTCATCTGACTTTCCAGCTGAATTTGTCGCTTGTTCCCCCTTGTGCAAGCCTTTTCTGCCCTCCTGATTTTCCTCGCTGTTACCAGGGAGCAGGTAATAGTGAAAAGGGTAGGCAAACAAAAATAGCAGCCAAAGTACCACCAGAGTCTTGCTCCATCGTACGTGAGAGCTAACACATAGATGGTGTCCGGTAGTGCGGTGGATATCTTCACCACGCACCGCTCCCCTGGGGGGCTGCCGCTGTATTCGGGGTCCTCCTTTGCCAGCTGGCGCAGCACAACCTCAGGCAGGGCCAGCAGCAGCGCTCCAACCCAGATGACGGCCAGCTTGGCCGTCGTCGAAGTGCAGTTTTCAATCATCTCGTAATACATCTGCACGTTGGTGGCGGCACGAAACCGGTCGATGCAGAGGGCGCACAGTGTGAATGTGGTGACTCCGAGAGAGGCAACCTGTGAGGGAGAAAAGGGAATTCAAGTTAATATTAATACCAGTGCTGTCTGGGGAAAAAAAAACAACAAAACCAAAAGGAAAAAAAAAGGAAAAAAGTTTAAAGGAGAGCTACAAGGGTACAGTCCATTATTCAGTGGAGACTGGTAAAACTTCCCCTCCTTCAAAACTCCCCTGGCCCCCTGCTGATGACAGTCTTCTTAGAGATGTAAAATGAAAGCCTGAACTCGCTCAGGCCGAAGAGGGAATTAATTTCTTGTACACTGGACGAAGGCTTTTACCATTGAGCTGTTCTCTGGAAAAGGTTTATACTCTTTCATAGTTAAAGAGAGCTTAATTTGTACTCTGAAACATCAGTCAAGTCTAGCTCCTTGACTGACAAAGGCAAAGGAAAACCTAGGCTAGGGTTATCAGTGTCAAAACCAATTTATCACCATGGTGCTGAGCACGATCAAAAGAAGCATCACAGACAAAACTTAGCTTCCAATGTTTGCTGAGCTACCATCAAACATGCATCCCCACAAAGTATGTCCTTCTGTTTTCCTGCCTACAAATATTTATTTCAGCTTGCTGTCATTCTCTCCTGGAGGCTCATACAAGCATCTGTGCAACACTGGGTGGCAAAAAAAATGGGGGAACTGACCAATATACAAAACTAACCCTCTTCACCCCCTCATTTTTCTAAGAGGTGTCTTTCATAAAGAGCAGATCCCCCACAGTGGTTGGAATTTAAGTCAAAAGGTGAGATATGGGGGAGTCTTCCTTCAGCAGAAGTATCAACTTAAACCCACATCACATGTTCATTAAACATGCAGGGGATCATACCATAAAAAACCTTCCACATCTGAAACATACAGGAATCCTACAGATTAGGCATCTACTGAATGGAGTAGGGTCCAACAACTGTTTCTGTGGACTTAGGCTCTTATGTAAAGTTTTGATGGGATGTAGGCATATAAAATCATTCTGTACTGTGAGTTCTGAGATTATCTGAAAACTTCAAACTTTAAGAGCCTATGCAAAAACTATCTTGACTCTAATAGACTTTAATTAATCTATCTTCAACATTTCGTTTAGAAAAAAAATCACAGGAAAATCTAGGCTTAGAATCATAGACAAGTTATGGTTGGAAAAGAGCTATAAGATTATCAAGTCCAACTGTTATCTAACTCTACCATGCCTACTTCTAAACTACATCCCTGAGCATCACTACATGGCTTTTAAATACATCCAAGAATGGTGATTCCACCATTTTCCTGGGCAGTTTGTTCCAGTCTTTGATAACCTTTTCAGTGTTGAAGTTTTATCCTAATGTCTAACCAAAACCTTCCCTGGCATAACTTGACTCCATTTTCTCTTGTCTATCGGTCATAACTTGTGAGAAGAGACCCACACTGACCTCATTACAAACTCCTTTCAGGTAGTTGTAGAAAGCAATAAGGTTTCCCAGTTCCCTCAGCCGCTCCTCATAAGACTTGTGCTCTAAACCCCTCACCAGCTTTGTTGCCCCTCTTCGGACATGCTTCAGTACCTCAATGTCTTTCCTGCAGGGAAGGACAGTACTCAAGGCATGGTCTCACCAGCGCCAAGGACAGGGGGACAATCACTTCCCTATTATTCCTGATCCTGGCCAGGATGCCATTGGCCTTCTTGGCCACCTAGGCACATTGCTGGCTCATGTTCAGCCGGCTGTTGATCAACACTCGCAGGTCCCTTTCTGCCAGGCAGCTTTCCAGCCACTCTTCTCCAAGCCTGTAGCATTGCATGGGGCTGTTGTGACCCAAGCACAGGACTTGGCAGTTGGCCTTGCTGAAGCTCATATAATTGCCCTCAGCCCATACATCCAGCCTATCCAGGTCCCTCTGAAGAGCCTTCCTACCCTCAAGGAGATCAACACTCCCATCTAACTTGGTGGTGTCTGCAAACCTACTGAAGGTGCACTCAATACCCTCATCCAGATCATTGATAAAGAAGTTAAACAGGAGTGGCCCCAACATTAAGCCCTATGGAACACCACTTGTGACTGGCCATGAACTGGATTTAACGCCATTCACCACTACCCTCTGGGCCAGCCATCCAGCCAGTCCAAGCCTTAATTTCATAGGAAACACCAATGTACTGAAGGCCAGGAGAAATGGCAGAAGTTTCATTGCTAAATCATTTAAAGATGGATTGAACAGAACTCTCAATTATATACTGCAAGGAGCAAGTACAGAGCAATGCATATGTTCTCTAGCTTTAATAACCAGCATTCTATGTACAAATAGCAATCTTCTGCTGTCATGAAACAATTTCCTATAATTTTCTCCTGTTTATAATTAAATTCACTAAAAATAAATTTGCAAGAAGACTATATACATTTTGGCCTAATCCTATTTCAAATAAATTCAACTTTTATTCAAATTCAAAGCAGAACTCCCATTAACTTCAATTGGAGAAAGATTAGGTGCTCTGTTGCATTCTAATTCATTTATTTTCTTGGGTTTGCATGCTTCTGTTATGGTAAAAATGTGGTGACACAAAAGAAAATAAACTGTTAAATAATATTCCTAATAAGTGTAAAGAATGCATACTTTTATCACGAATTAACCACGTGCCTGTGCAATGAACTGGGAAATCTAGCGTAATATCAGGCAGTTCACTGAATTTTTGCTTACCCAAATTTGATGTGCAATGATACACTTAAATTTCACATACATACATTTTAAAAAATACTTTCTAATTTTCACAATAATTTTGAAATATTCCTGTTTATGTGTCTCTTGTAAAAAGTTCTGCAAAGATAGAGAGTACAATTATGCACAATTATATAAATGTATTATTAATTTTTGCCTTCAATATTTAATGGCCGTATCAGATTGCTAAAATTGAATAGCACTGAAAAATATCAGGCACTTGGGATTAGAACTGTCAGGCTTTGGCTTGGTGGGGGAGTTCTTTGAAGCACCTTCCTAAAGGATGGGATGAGTAAAATGCAATCTCTTACTAATTAACTTGTAGGAATATTTAATGATGACAAAGCAGTACCATAAACATTTTTAATAGGCAAACCTATTGATTTAGGAAGTTAAACTGTCTGACAAGATTCAAAGAAGGCTTGGTAAATACAGCAAAATATAAAAACAATTAATGAAAAATTACAATTATGGGGAAATCCTAATAAACAGAGATAAACTTAGCTAATGAAAGATAATTTTAATGAATCACTGCTGAGCGTCAGATTTTTAAATTCAAGACTAGCAACTTTGTTTCCAAAACATTTAAATGTGCATGCAGTCTTCAAATTCCTTAGAGTGACAGCAAAACCTTTAGCCAGAACATCCAACATGAATAACAAAACAGTCAGAACTCAGCTCCCAGCAATTATGGGAGACAAGGAAATAACTGAGACTTAGAAAAGAATAGGGATTGAAACAAAAATCAGCAGAACAGAAGAAAAGCTGAGGTTCTGTACATTGTTTTACCTCTCAGTTCTTATGTGAGTCTCTCCCCCCACCCCCAACGCACACGCTTTTATTACTTTAGCATTTTATTGCAAACAGGCTGTTATACAGTGGCTAAGACATTAAAACTCAGCAGCTGTTAAGGCTGGACTAATGAAAGAAGACATGTCTACCATGAACAAACGTAACCTACGGGGTTCCTGTCACATTAATTGACCAAAAACTTGGAGGTTTAAGACAGTGAAATAGAGCAAGAAGAAACAACTAAGAACAGTGGAAGTCAGCTTTGAAAACTCTCCCGTGGATTCACCAAAGAAACAAGCTATACAAAGCCAGTGTTTCCCTGGAAAAGGCAACGGTTTCCTATTTTCTGTAGATTAATGGGGTTAGTGATACCATGGAAAAGCTTCCAAAAACCAGACAAACACTCCCAAGCAGATGAACAGGAATTCACTCCAGCTGACTTGCTTAAAGGCAGTAGAGCAATTTAAGGGCCTGATTACCTACCCTACTTCATTTCCCCCACATCGCTGGCTATGAGTAATAGCCAGCAAAATCAATGAGTCCTGCTTACAACCCATGTGGGCAAGAACTGGGACATGCATTTTGCATGTTCATGGTTTCCCTTTAGGGGGGTTTCTCCATAACAGTCATACTAAAAATTAGGGCTAAGCTGGAAACATGGGAGAAGCCAGAGCAGTATCCTTTTTAATCTGTTCCATTGCCCAGAAATAACCACAGAATAAGATAATTCATTTGATGGGGTGTAGGTAAAGGACAAATTAACAAATCCTAGAGTAGTGTGAAGCTGAATGGAGTTTAATGGTGCTCTTCTTGTAACAGCTGAGTTTCTGATATGCTGTTGCAGTTTTAATTCCAACAACCTAGCAGGAAATAAGGCAAGGCAAGGGCGAGTCAGGTTCAGTAGTTTTTGATCGTCACTTAGTTGTGTGATTCATTTCCATATGGTCCCTATGAAGATTCTCCTCCAGTCTCTAGACATTCAGGGTGACACCAGTTTACATCTTTCTGTCACTCAGTGATATTAGAAAAGCCTTCAAGTTTCTAACGGAATGACCACCAATCTGTTTTGAGAGGATGGTGAAGTAACCTCTGTTCTGAGGAGGTGCCCATATTTGAGCAGAGAACTGCTGCTGAAGGTATTACCAGCTACACATGCACAAAAGACGACATTATTGTTACAAGTGAGTCTCTTAATACTGTTGCTTCTTTAATAGCATTGACAGGGATATTAGTGGGCACCATGATGCTCCTTTGAGACACTGCATAAACCTTTGGTCATTAGCTCATCAGCTATAGTCAACTGTGTCAAAACTCATTTAGGGAACTGAGGCCACAGAGAACAGCAAACTCATGAAATGCTCAGCTTAATTGCATCAGTTCACCTCTCCGTCCCTCCAAAATACCCATCCCCCTTTCACAAACTTTAACAACTACTGATACATTCCCAGGCCTTCCCCAGCCTGTCCTACTTCTCCTGGCTGTGCTCCCACAGCTCTTGGCCCTGGCCTCTAGCAGCAGAGCCTCTGGCTGACCAGGGAAGC